ACCCTGTCTCAAAAAAAAAAAAAAAAAAAAAAAAAAAAAAAATAGCTTACCTCGATGTAAGCTTCAACTGTAAATAATTGCCCATTATGTTTCTTGTTCTACAGCGATTTGACAGCATTGAATTTACAACGCGAAGGAGGAATGTGTGCATTTTTGACTTCAACAAGAATAGACGATAGTGACTGCGGTAAAACCTACCCGTGCATCTGTGAAAAGAGAATGGATACGTTCTCTGATTCAGTCTGCAACAAGAAGGAAAGGTAAACACAAAACATTGTCATTTTTGTGTTTTCTGTAGTAGTCTGTGACTGCTCACAGTGAGATGTTTCTGACCACAGGATTTAGTCAACTGGGCAAAGAGAGAGAAACTGGAGGAGGAGGGTAATGACCTTCTGGAATCTGACTTTCCAGATCATAGCCATTTTCCTTCCTGGAGGAGACAGAGCAGCTTGTCTGGAGGGTGGGCATCCTTTGCTCCAAGGTCCTGAGGAATGGCTCTTTCTGTGTCCCGAGCCACCCACAAAACCAAATAAAACATCCTGATAGATATTTTGTTACAATATGATAAATAATTTCAATATCTTTTGGCTTTGATAACATGGTTTGTATTAGTCACTTTTCTGTGGACCCAATCAATTTATAGAAGAAAGAATTTATTTGAGCTTACGGTTCCAGGGGAATTACAGTCCATCTTGGCCTGGACGTATGGTGGCAGAGGTGGCTGGAGAAGAGGAGCAGATGTTAAGCTCTACACCTTCCAACAGGCACAGGAAACAAGAGAATAACTGGAGATCTGGCAAGGCTTAAGAATTCTCTAAGCCCACCCCAAGCCCTATCAAGTGCTTCCTTCAGGATAGCCACACCTACTAAAACCTCCCAAACAGCTCCACCATGTGGGGACAAAAATATCCAAATACTTGGAGCCTATGGGGGACATTTTCATTCAAACCATCACATGGTTACTACAATATAACTGCATTTCTGTTTATTTTTTGGATACTGTGTGTTATTTTTTACATTTTGAAAATGTCAACATCCTTTAAAAACATTTATTTTCCAAAAAATATAATTTAAAACTTGATGAATAGTTGCAGGAGTATTTCAAGGAACTCTCAAACAAGCCTTACCAATAATCATAGGTTGCTTATATTTTCCATGGTCTCTAGCTTGTCTGTTGCCAAACCATTTGTAGATACAGTAATACTAATTGAGGCCAGCTAGATGTGCTGGCTCAGGCTTGTAATCTTATAGGTACATAAGGTTGAGGTCAGCCTATGCTACATAGTATAATTGAGGCTATCCTTGTCTACAGAGTAAGAACCTATCTAGTGAATGTAAATAATAATAATTAATGTTATTAGTATGATAATACCCAAACTGTACCAAAATATTCTCCAAGGACAAGCCATTTCTCCTATAAGATTATACTAAAATGATCAAACCCAGGACATTCAGTACTGATGCTGTAATGTGTTCTCATCCATAGCCATGTTCATCTTTGTCAGTTTTCTGTATAATGATGGCATAGTCATTTTTTTTCTCCAAGTTCAAGATCATGTAGTGTCTTCACTTGTGATTTCCTTTTTAGTGATTTTTAGTGATGAACAGGTTTTACTGATGATTTTTATTTTGGTTTTGACATATAGAAATCATGCCTCCTTCTGTCTGAGGATTTCATACAAGAGTGCACTATAAGCACATCATTTCTATCATTTCTATCCACTTCTTCCCTCACCAACTCATACCCTCTTTCTTCAGCTGCCTGCTCAAACAAAACCGAAACCAAAACCAAAAGAAATTGGTCTCTTTCCCACAGCATTCCCCTAATGCCTGTAGCTCTTCATCTATGGGTGTGTCCTTGTCAAAAATTTCTTTATCTGTGTTGGCATGTAGATTGGTGCTTGGCCTTCGCATATCTTGTTCATGGGAGCAATATTCCCACGTTTTGGGCTTCAGGCTCTTTTACTGCCCCCTTCTTCCATGATGCGCCCTTAGATTTAGGGATAGATAATGTTGTATAGATGTCCCATTTGGGACTGGGCTTCCCATGGTCATTCATCTTCTGTGTTTTGACCAGTTGTGGAACTGTCTATCAGTCTTCATCAGCTGTCAAAAGAAACTTCTTTGATAAGATGGGAGAGCCGCATTTATCTTTAAGGATGAGTATTTAAAGGCAGCTGGAAGATATGGTAGTGAAAGGTACTACTCTAGAGCTGATAACTTCTCTATCCAAGGTTTCTGTGCTAATTTTACACTACCAGGCATTAGTTCCCTCGAAGTGAAGGGGTCTGAGGTACAGTTAGATAATTGCTTGTTGCTTCCAAGGTACAAGTGCCACTATTGTACAGCAGGGTTATCTTGTTAGACCTGTCATTGTGTTTCACAGTCTTCACTGCTGGGTAGAACATTGGTTACTTTTCTCCCCTAGCATCTTGCATAGCACCTTTCAACACTATGAGAGCCAGCTCTCAAGGAAGAGGTTTCCATATCATTACTATGTTGATTTCTCCAGGTCCTTTGACCAAAGTGTGTGGTGTTTTCAGCAACAGGGTGTTGCCTTGATGTTCTGTAGGGCAACCAAGAGCAAGTCAGTAGCCATATTGCTTTGCAGATCTCAGAGCTACTTGACTAATAACCCCAAGGGAGGTAACATGCCTTGCAATGATGTTTTGTTAGATAGTCTATAGCACCCGGGAGTTACATTATCCCACTCTGTGGGTTATTTGCATTATATATATATATATATATAATTTATCTGTTATCTATCTATCATCTATCTATCTATCTATCTATCTATCTATCTATCTATCTATCTATCTATCTATCTATCTATCTATCTATCTATCTATCTATCTATCTATCTATCTATCTATCTATCTATCTATCTATCTATCTATCTATCTATCTATCTATCTATCTATCTATCTATCTATCTATCATCTATCATCTGTCTGTCTATCTATCTATCATCTACTATGTCGGGTGTGGTAGTGCATGCCTTTAATCCCAGCACTCAGGAGGCAGAGGTAGGCAGATCTCTGTGAAATCAAAAGGAGCTGGTCTCCATAGTGAATATAGTGAGTTTCACCTAGGGCTACTGAGAGACCTTGTCTCAAAATACACACACACACACACACACACACACACACACACGCAATGTGATTTTCTTTTAACTTATAAATTTGGGTGTCTTTTTTCTTTTTTTTTTTTTTTTTCATCTTATTGAGGCAGGGTCTCCCTGTAGTCCCAGCTGGCCAGAAACTCACAATGTAGACCAGACTCATCTGAAACACACAGAGATCTACCTGCCTCTGCCTCCTGAATGTTGGGGTCAAAGGCATGTGCCACCATGCCTGGCCTTTCTCTTTCTTTCTGTTAACTCAGCTAAGGGTCCATCATACCTTTTTTTGCCCTCAAAGAACCAGCTCTTAGATTCATTAATTTTTGTTTGCTTTTATTTCATTAATTTCTGCAATGATTTCTATTATTTCTTCCCATATACTTGCTTTGGGTTTGTTTCTGAAATGGCAAAACTAACTCCATTTTGTTCTAGCTGACTTTTACTTTACCCTATGTCTTTGCCCAGCCGATTTTTGCCCAAGCAGTTCATCTCATGTGGGTATTTTAAGGGAGTACAATGTTTTTACAATACTGAGAAACTTATGAGTAGCCATGTAGCAAGTTGAAACAGCATGTCCAGATAGCCTGTACCCCCCTCAGCTCTACCTGCATCTCTATGGAGCTGACGGTTTCTGCATTCTGAGAAACTTGTTTTGTTCATAACCAAAACTTTTTGTTAACTGTATATCTCTTTGTTAACGGACCTGTCCCTGGTCTGGTGTAACTATGATAATCTGATGTAACTATGACTATTGGCTTTACCCCTGTCGTGATACAATTGTAGTTTTAAGTTTCATAAGCCCTGCCCTGTTTCTCCTTGGGGTCGAGAATTCTCTTGGTCATGAGTCCCCTCTCTGACCACTGGCTTCCTAGCTAGCTTATAGAGGACTCCTAATTTGACTACTGCTATGTGGCATTCCTCTGTGCAGTCTCGCTCGGTATTAATTTTCTAAAACACTTGAGGTGCATCACTAAGCTATTTATTTGTGCTTTTTCTGATTTTTTCTATGCAGCTAACTAGAGATATAAATTTCCTTCTTAGGACTCCTTTTAATGTGCCTGAGTAGTTTTTGTGTAGTGTGTATTCATTTATTTCCAGTAGTTCAAAAATGTTTTTGTCTTGATTTGTTTTGTGACCCATTCATCTCTGAGAAGTGTGTTTTCATGTGCTTATTGGTCATTTTGTCTTTTTCTTTGTCAAGTGCCTTTCCATTTTTGCTTCTTTTTTGGTTGGGTTTATCTGTCTTCTTCTTACAGCACTGTAAATGTTCTTCATGCAGTTTCAATACAAATCCTTTGTTAGATGTATGTTTAATAAATATGTTTTCCTACACTCTCTTGCATCTTCATGTTCTGAACTATATCATGGAAGAAGTTTTAAAAATGTTTGAGGCCTGATTTATCATTTTCTATGCTTGACTTACATATTTAGTTCATACTGATATCAGTTTAATAAAGTGTTTTAATTTTTTTGATATTTTAATTTATGTATGTTTCTGTGAGCATGTTCACCTGGTCTATGGAGGTGGCTGCAGAGGGCCAGTAGAGTGGCTCAGATCCCCTGGAGCTGGAGTTACAGGCAGATGTGATTCACCCAACTTGAGTGTGAGAACTGAACTCAGGTCCTCTGGAGGAGCAGGGAGCACTCTTACCGAGCCATCTCTGCAGCCCCTCAAGTTAGTGTTTTTGAGCAAAGTGTTGAAGTTCACCATGATTTCCCCTTGGCTGTCTAGATTTTTGCTGTATTTGTTGAAATTCTGTCTTTCTTCCACTGAACTATTTTGGTACCTTTCTATAAAATAAATTGATGGTAACTGTTTGGGTCAATGTGTGAATTTTTTTTCTGTCTCATTGATCTGTGTCACCAGTCTTGGAGTTACACAGGTCCCAGTTTACATATCTAAACCCTGCAGTGAAATGCACTGATCCTCTTAACTTGAGTTTCAGGCAAATGTGAGCCATGTGGGTATTAATTAAAAAAAAGAATTTTCTGTTTTTAATATGGGAAAAATACTGGCTTTATTTTTATTTGGAAGATGTATTTATCTTCTCTTTGTATTTTGAAAGTTTAGTTTTTGGTAAAGTTTATATTTTATTTTCTTAAATCATGAATCAAGATTGTAAGTGGGATGATGATCTG